AATAAAAGCTATTAGTGTGCCATTTAAGCGTCGGACGACTGGAGCCCTCCCAGGTAAATTCTGGTTGCTCCAAAATTGGAATGGCCGAAATCTGTCTCTTAGAAACCAGAGAAAGAAACTATGGTAAAGGCCACATGTCATTAACAATAAAATCTTCAATTTTCTTATGATACAGCCTAGCATCACAGCACAAATCAGCTAGTGTATAACCATTTATCCAAGGGTCCCATAGGAATGAATCACAACAGTGTAATCCAACAGACATCTTAACTTTGGATTTAATATTTTGTGCAGTAAGACAACAAAGTTTCCAAAATTTAGAAGAGGTTAAAGCAACATGTTTCCAGGGAGATTCATATTTTGCTCGAAACCAAGCCAAAGCCAAAGACTGAGAGTTATAAAACCGCCAGATAAAGGAACAGACAACCCCATAATATAATGCATCAAAAGAAGAAATCCCAAGCCCACCATAACATTTAGGTTTGGCAATAGTCTTCTAGGCAATAAGATGCATCTTTTTATCCTTGATATTTCCATGAAGCAAAAATTTAGCAGATAATTTAGAGATGAATGCACGACAAGCTTTAGGTATTATGGATCCCCTAATCCAATAAGCAATCGAATTTGCTATCGTGAACTTTAAGAATTATAATCTACCAGCAAAAGAAAGGAATTTAACTTTCCAACCCTCAAGTAGAGAAGAAATCCTGCTCAGAAGGGGTTGGAAGTGAGTAAACTTAAGTCTTTGGGGGGAGATAGGAATGCCAATGTATATTAAGTAAGGGCTCCAATGATGAATTTGAAGGCAATTGGTTATAACATCAGCAGAAGGAGCATCTTTGGCAAAAGAATGGAACTTTTATTCGGATTAATGTTTGGGTTAGAAGAAGAAGCAAAAAGATTTAGGGCATTTTTAAGATTCATGGCATTGCAGTGAATGGCTTCTCCAAACACTAGGAGATCATCGGCATAAAGAAGATGGTTGATAGAAACATCCTTGCACATGAGACCCAAGAAATTAGAAGAACTAAGGCAATGGGAGAGACCATCTATAGCAATACAGAAAAGAAGATGGGAGAGTGGGCAACCTTGTTTGAGGCCTGAGGAAGACTTGAAAAAACCTTCCAATAACCCATTGATGCAAACAGAGAAGAAAACCCTCAGAAATACAACCATTAATCCACTTAATAAAAAGCTCTGGAAAACCTTTAATTTCTAAACGGTGTAAGAGGTATTCCCTAGAAAGGGAATCAAAAGCTTTCTTGTATCCAATTTTGCACAAAACAGCTCCTTTCCCTTTTTAAAATCTCTGAGAATTTCTACAGCAAGGATAATATTATCAAGGGAAGATCTTTGATGAATAAAGCCAGCCTGACTCTCATGAATAATATAAGGTAGAATCCCTTTCAATTTATTAGCAATCAGCTTAGCCACAATTTTGTAAAAAAACATTGCATAAAGAGATGGGTATGTAATCGACAATGGAAGCAGCATGAGAGGTTTAGGGAATTAAAGTGATAGCAGTAGCTTTAGCTGTCCTAGGAAGGTATCCAGTAGCAAAAAAAACTTTTGACATCCTTGCACACAAGATGACCAATCAAAGGCCATGTTTTTTTGTAGAATTCAAAAGTATACCCATCAGGGCCCAGAGCGACCTTAGCCTTGCCAAAGAAAACCACCTTTTTAATATCCTCTTCAGAAAAAGGCTCAATAAGAGTTTGGGTCAAGTGATGAGGAATCAGGTTTCCAATAGGAATAGAGGGGTCATCCCACTTAGCAGAAGGGGAGGAGTTGAAAATGCTTTGGAAGTGGTGGATGATATAGCATTAGAGATATCAGGTTGAGAGGAGAAGTGGCCTTGATCCGTGTAGATTTCCCGAATGTAATTTGTATTTTTCCTTGCTTTAATCTTAGCATAAAGGAACCCTAAGTCATCCTCACCCTTAGATAACCAGTAAGCTTTGCCTCTTTGAGAAATCCAGCAAGACCAAGCATGTTGTAAAGTAGCTAGGTTGTCGTTAACCCTCTTGAGATTAATATTTAAATCTGTGTTCAGAGGATTAGCTTGCAGGTCAACAAGAATCTTGTTTTCTAATTCTTGAAGTTTTAAGATAGGCTTAGTAAGATAATTAGATGAGGCCCACTTCTTGCCTTTAAGAGACCTCTTGAGGATTTTGAGGGAGAAATAGAATGCAGAGATTGGACTACCAACAGACGACCTAGCAAAAGAAAAGCAAATGGCCTCCCAAATACCATCCATGTTCACCCAAAAGTTTTTGAACATAAACCTAGCATTGGTAGAATTAATGGCAGAGTCCAAGAGTATCAGGGGAGAGTGGTCTGATCCAAATGGCGAGCAACTTTATAATAAGCAGTTTGGAAAGAGTTGATGAACGTCGAATTGACCAGAACTCTATCAAGTTTGATGTGGATTGGTTGATCCGGTCTTTGATTAAACCATGTGTAATATAAGCCAACAGAGGCAAGTTCTTAGACACCACAATCAAAAATGAATTTGTTTAATTCCTCAATAGAACTCATATGGAGAGGATTACCACCCACTTTTTCATAATCAAATCTGCAACTGTTAAAATCTCCCATGATAACCCAAGGTGAATCAACAGGAGGGGTAAGATTCTTAAAATCATTCCAAAGAACTTTCCTGTCAATCATATTATTAGCTGCATAGATAGCCGTCAGAAAAATAGGAGGGGAAGTTCCTTCAGAAAAAGAACCATGAATGATTTGAGCTAGGATGAAAGTAGGGGTGAAGGAGACAAAAAGAGGATCCCACTTGATCCATATTCTTCCAGGAGAAGAAAAATGAAAATTATGATAACTAGCTTCATTATCAAAAACCATGTGACGGTTAATAAACCAAGGATCCAGAGTAGCTTGAAGCTGCACCTTAGCTTCCAAAATACACAAGAACTTAACACTATAAGATTTAACAAGATCTTTATAGAACCGAACCTTCTCATGGTTGTTAAACCCCCTCACATTCCAACTAGAAATTGGTGTACATGTCACTGAAACTTTGAAGCTTTAGCCTTTTTTACAGATTTAGGCTTTCCTTTTTTGGGTTCTTTATGGGATTTGGGTTTGGTCTTAGAAGACCCTTTTACATCAGAGGCAGCATAACATTCTTTAGAATAAGAAATTTCCCCCGAAACCGACATAGAAGAGTTCTCAGAAGTTGAGGGCTGATCAGCTGGTTGATCAGCATCTTGCTGTGGTATAGGGATATCCATAGGAGGGGGAGCCATTATAGATTCATCAGTTTGTAAAGAGGCAAATATATTGGCTAGCTTCACATTAGCAGGGATATTGGCACAACCAGGAGACGAAACATCAGGAGAAGAGGAGATATCAGTAGGAAGATTAAGGTTCGGTAATGCAAGCATTTTACTCGGGCTAGATATAGGAGGAATAGAGAAGGGGATTTGTGGAAGAGGATTAAGCACAACAGATTCAACCAAGTCCGTGATATTGGGGGTAATAATGGGTTCGGGACCAGGTTGTGAAATAGGTAAAGAAACAACCAACGAATTGTTGGGAAGAGGATTGGGAGGGGTAGGATGTTTTAAGGTAACCAAATTATTAGCTGGAGCTTGGATGAGCTTGGGCAGTGGTGGTTTTGAGGTAGAATGATGCTTCTCCGGGTTGCGACTAGTACTACGTCCCCTAGGACGAGACGGAGGAGGAATTGAAACTGGATTTGGGTTAGAGGAGCATAGAGAGAATGGGTGAATCAACGAACCACAGCCTTCACACGGTATCGGTTTCCAATCATAAACCACCTTGAGTGTCATGTCTAGCCCATCAATTAGAATAGGGATTTCATCCGGCAAAATCGAATCCTTAGCAATTTGCACACAGATTCTAGCAAAGGTCAACCTAGTTCTCTTGGCAATGAGCGGATCAACAAACAAAGGAACTCCTACATAACTGGCGATTCTAGAAATTCCCGTTGGAATCCACAAAGCTAACGGTAAATTGATGATTTTAATCCAGATAGGTATAGAGGCAGACTCATCCCTAACCGGATTAAATTTTGGTGACCACCTCTGTAGTATGAAAGGTTTCCCTAAGAGAAACCAAGGCCCCCAGTCCATACCATCTCAAGATCCTCCAGAGAAGTAAATTTGAGTAGAAAAAAATCATCCGCAAGAGAAAGGAGAAAGAGCGAACTTTTAAGATTCCAACGATTTTTCATAGCCGAAAATAACCTTTCGTAGTATGGCCTTCGGCCAATCGAGTAACCCACGAGTGAAAGAGTCCAGAGAGAAGAACCTTCTGAGAGATCATCCGCAAAGAAAGAAAGCTTCAAACTTGGCGAAACAAAGGAGACGGGAAAATCTGGAGTGAGCGATGTTGTGGCCTTGAGATTATCAGCATAAGATGAGTTAAGCGACAGAGGAGACTTGCCAAGAAGAGAAGCAGAAGAGAGAGGTGGAAAATCTTGAAGAGAAGCCTCCATGGAGAGGCCATCCCCAGCGGGAGACCCAATGGCGTAAGCGGCGACAAGGGAAGGAACCAGAGCAAAACCCTAAAAACCTTCTCTCTCAAACGCGAGTGGTTTTCCGGTCAAACGGTCAGCTCTCATCATTTTTTTTATTATAAATCATTATTGTGTACCGCTCGATATCATATTTCCTACATTCTAATTTATTCGGTATCTGCATAGACTAATTTCTCATTTTTCGAATTAATTGCTCGTCTTGAAACGTCCGGCCCTCAATAGGTCCTATAGTAAAAAAGGGCAACCGGAAAAAGAAATGGGGACCGGCAGATAAGGAATCATATCGATTCAATCCACGCTGGCGCCAAAGCGGCCCGAACCAATGAACAGGATTGCCCAGGCACCGTCATGACCCCACTAGATGTTGTGGCCAGTGAAGGTGCCACGTCAGACGGATACGTTCAATAAATGACACGTGTCAGTTAAATGGAGGTCCATCGAGATCGCTCGCTGCTTCCGCCTCTTATCGCCAAGCTTCAACCCAAAAAAAAAAAAAACCCGAAAATAAGGGAATTTTTTCTTCAAAATTTCTCTCAATTTTCCCTCGCGTCGCCCTCCGTCGCGGAATCCGCCATGACGGCAGCGGCAGCACTTTCTCTTCTTCCAATCTGTCTTCGCCGACCCTCTTCGAGATATAACTCAAAAAAGGTAAGAAAATCCTACGCCCTAGCCAGAAATAGCAAATATCTTGAAGTTATAGTGAAACTAGCTCTGATCCTGCACTGGTTAAGGAGAAACTTAGGGTTTTCTATAAATCAAATAATTAATTGATCTTCAGAACTAAAGAGTATTTGTTTGGAACTTTTTGACGTTTAGGTTTTGAAAGCATTTGCTTCAGTGGTTGTTGGATTTATTTTTTCTTTATTGATGGGTTATTTGACTTTAAATGTGAGTAATCGATCCTTTTATGAACGGAACCCCTCAGGGTTTTTATTCTGATTGAAATAGTTGTTTTGTAGTGTGGCTATGCTTCAATTTTGAAGTTTGAGACTCTTTACAAGTTTTTTTTTTTAAATGGTTTTTGATGGTGAGAAAGTGCCCTTCTCTATTAAGAAAACAATTCAATTTGACAATTTGAGTAGGGACATCTTTTCATGCTTCTAAAATGAAATCTCTGATTCTTCTATTCTTTTATTTTCCTTAAAATGACCCTTAAAAACCGTTATCATGTCACTTGGAAGTATTCATCTGAGTATTTGTGGCATCAGGAGGTCATTTTCTTGCGGATTTAAATATATTTGTCATCCAATTAAACCTGAAAGCTTGATGCGTTCCTTTGGTTTCTTGTACTTAGAAAATGGAAAATGAAATTTTCATGGGAAGAAAGCCTATTTTTCTATAATGCCATAGGGACCACCTGAAAAAAATGTAGAATAAACTAATTCTTATGGCTTTTGTATCTTTAAATTGGTATCTCTGAATCGAAATGCTATGCAGGGTGGTTTTATTAGAGATGAATTCAGAATATTTGCTGTTTATAGAGAAGAAGGGGGAGGTGGTTTGCAGAAAAGGAGTAGTTGGGATGCAATATTTGATGTTGAGGATCCAAGGCCTAGAATGCTACCGTCTAAAGGAAAGTACTTGAATGCAAATCAAGCGTTAGAGGTTGCTAGGTTTGATATACAATATTGTGATTGGAGGGCCCGTCAAGATTTACTAACAATCGTGCTTCTCCATGATAAGGTACTGATAAAGTTTAACTATCTTGATATGATGCTGATTTATGATGCTTTTAATAATTTTATTGCATCTTAGTTCTTTAGAGTTTTGATTCCTGACCATGAATTCTAAGCAAAAGTAGAAATCTCCTCTGGATGATGATTAATAGCTAGTTATAATCTCTGCTAATTTTAGTCTTTATTTAACTTGAAATACTTGAGAGAACTATTTCCGAAGGCCATTGAGGCTTTTCCAGGTAAAAAGTTAACATTCTTGTTGTTTTGAAGAAAAAAGTGAACTATTTTTTTGTGAGTTTCTTAGCACCAGCAGCAGCTTTCCTAATAATAATGTCCAATTTCAACTGAAAAAAGTTAATAAACAAATAGCATTTTGTCAGACTCATCCTGTGCTGGTCATCTGATGACAAGTGTCAGAGATCAGATATTCACTTAGCTTCATATTTGTTGATGATTGTTGATTTGTAGAGTTGTTGCAGCATCTAACAAAGTAAATTATGCAGGTTGTTGATGTTCTGAACCCTTTAGCACGTGAGTTCAAATCTATTGGAACCATGAAGAAAGAACTTGCAGATTTACAGAAAGAACTAGCAAAGGCTCACAATGAGGTATGTATGAATTGTTGCAATTAATCAAATGATTTAGGCCAATCTGCTTATTTTTGTTCCCTTTCACATTATTTGGATCAGGTTCACATATCAGAAGCAAGAGTAGCTACTGCGTTGGATAAACTAGCATATATGGAAAACTTAGTGAATGATAAACTTTTGCAAGAAAGGATTCCAAAAGAATCCAGTTCTGATCCTGTGCCAGTTGCTGTAAGCACTTCATCTGCGCCCATAGCTTTTAGCGCACAGTCGCCTAGAAAAAGCCTTGATGTTTCTGGTCCTGTCAAACCTTATCACCCCAACCTTAAAAACTTCTGGTACCCAGTTGCTTTTTCTACGGATCTCAATGATGATACCATGGTTAGTATTTCGTTTTCCATGCTAAGACTAAAAAGTTATCTAAATAAGTGCTGCTTTTTTAATTGGTTAAATTGTGCTCCTTCAGATTCCTTTAGATTGTTTTGAAGAACCATGGGTCATATTTCGAGGCAAGGATGGAAATCCAGGATGTGTTCAGAATACATGTGCCCACCGGGCTTGCCCTCTTCACCTTGGATCTGTGAATGAGGGACGGATTCAATGTCCTTATCACGGTAAGTTTTTGGCATTGATTACCAGTTTCGATTGATTTTGTCTACACTTATTGTTTAATGGGTCTCAAGAGGGGTTGAGTAAAAAACTTCCAAATGGCATCTTTAATTTGCATTATTATTTCTCTTGATCTGCAAACAGAATCCACTAATTTTGCTTTAATTACTTTATTTCATTTGAATTTTATGGAAACAAACAGCTTACTTGTTCATCTTTCTATTTATTTTGGGTCATTTTGTTTGATAGGAAAGTGGGTACGGATGTATTTTATGGTTATGATTATTAGGCTTGGGGAACATTAGGATGATGTGGGGGATGAAGGGAAGGAGGGTGTCGGGAATTAGAAGGGGATTTCAACAATAAAGGTTTTTATTGCTTCTACAATTAATCAAGAGGAGATTAGTCAACCACAGAAAATTTCTTTTTAGAAAATCAGAGTGCGTTGGAAAACAATAATATATATAACTTATTCATGATGACCAAGATCTAGATACGGCTAGTAGTGGCTTGTAATGTCGGTTTCATTTTTTTTTACTTTTTCCAGTGAGAATTTATAGTTGTCAACATGCTTTTTAGAGATATTCCGTTAAGTATAAGATATATTTTGACAATGGTCAATCACATTTGGTGTAATATGCCTTTCGCTTCTCCAGGTTGGGAGTATTCAACCAATGGAAAATGTGAGAAGATGCCATCAACCCGCATGCTCAATGTAAGTATAAGATCATTGTCATGTTTTGAGCAAGAAGGAATGATCTGGATTTGGCCTGGTGATGAACCTCCTACGGCTACTCTTCCTTGCCTGCAACCTCCTCCAGAATTTCAAGTTCATGCAGAGGTAATGAAGTTGTAAGATAATGTAGAGAAAAGTATGATAATTTCACTAAGCAAAAAAAAATCGGAATAGATAGCGGTTGAATATATTTTATTACACAGCAATTTGATTGTCTAAAAAGTTTGAATTATTATATTTTGCTAAAGTTAAACTTAAATCGAGGATGCTACATAATTCCATGTTTACAGATCGTTATGGAGCTCCCAGTGGAACATGGACTTCTCTTGGACAATCTCTTAGACCTGGCCCATGCTCCTTTCACTCATACTTCAACCTTTGCTAAGGGATGGAGTGTTCCAAGGTATTCTTCTTCAGTTGATAATCATCCTGATAATTGATTCACATGGACAACGCTGAGTACAATAGTTACCCAATGCATATCAAATCATTACATTTTTTGATAGCTCAATCTGAAGTATAAGAAAAGTGTCAATGCTGGAAAATTAGGAATTATATTGAAATTTGCAGGATAAGAGGAATTAAGGCTATAATTCTTCACTAGTACAGCAAAGGTTGAAGTACGAGTGAATCATTTAAAATTTCTTTTTTGAAGAAAAAAAAATCATTTAAAATTTCTTGTGTGTATTATATGTTGATTTCTATTTCTATTTTTATTTTTTTTATTTTCTGTATTTGAATTAAGTTTCACCTATTCCCCAATACTTGCATCTTAATTCTACTAAAAAACTTGAATCTATGTCAGGAAGTAATTGTGATTTTTTTTTATTACAATTTTAAAGTATCAAGTGATTCTTAATATACCTTTCTTCATGGCATCCTCCCATATCTTAGTAGATATCCATATTAACATTTTTACAATCAACCAGACCTAAGAAGTTTCATTGGGCATAGATTGTGTGTGTGTGTGTGTGTGTGTGTGTTTTTTTTTATTTCCTTTTCTCAATATAAAATAATTCTTAATACACCTTTGTAGATGGCATCCTCCCATATTTTAGTAGATATCCATATTAGCATTTTCGCAATCAACCCAGCCTAGGAAGTTTCGATTGGCATGACTAGTTGTACATTTTTCATCATATTCCATCGGGCTTAACTTTAACTTGTGTTAGAGATTATTCTTTGAAGACATTGGGTAACTAAACTAGCATGATTTTTGCTCTTCTTTTTCCCCCTCACAGCTTGGTCAAGTTCCTCACACCAGCATCGGGACTTGAAGGATATTGGGATCCCTACCCAATTGACATGGAATTCCGACCACCTTGCATGGTCCTTTCAACAATAGGTATCTCAAAACCTGGAAAACTGGAGGGACAAACTACAAGACAGTGCTCAACACATCTGCACCAGCTTCACGTGTGCTTGCCATCCTCCAGACAGAAGACACGGTTGTTATATAGAATGTCACTTGATTTTGCACCGATACTCAAGCACGTCCCTTTTATGCATATATTGTGGAGGCACTTCGCTGAGAAGGTGAGTTCTGTCTATTGATGCCTCTTATTTCATATTCGGATTATAAATAATGATGTGTGTCTCATGCATTCTGCTTCCTATTACTGTAAAATTATTCTCTTATAACGCTACTAGCTGTTTAGCTTCTACTTCACCTCGGCAAAGCAACTAATTATGGAATGTATGCAAATAGCACTTTAAAAGCAGAAAGATTGATTGATTCATACAGTGCTCAATCAAGGTTTAAGGAAGAAAGATGAAAAGGCTTCCCTCTAGAAATTCGCACAATTAGAGCAATAAAGCAAGGTCTTGTAGTGGCAACCACGAAAATCATTAACAACAGTTAAATATAGTATAAATGAGGTTGTTAAGCTGAATTTATGATAAAATTAGAAATGATATGATGAAAAATGACTATACTGGTGAGATGGCTTACTCTTGAGTGAGATAGTAAAAAATTAGGAGGAATCACCATTGTTTCAAATTCAACCTATTTATTCATCTTCTTAGATTGGGCTTGCATGCTAGCAGAAGACTATGTTAGAAAGATTCTTGGATTATCCTCTATTGAAATAAGATTATGAAAACTATAATGAATAATAATTAATCATTTTAATTTAAGGACACTCAATTAACCTACGTATTTATATCTTTTGAGGTTGTATATTAGAAAGCAAAATACACATAATATGATGTGTAGATGTAATTAATGCAAAAGCGTTATGTAGGGGTTGTGTAAAATTTTGCACAAATATAATTTAAAATAGCATGCTACACTCTAATAGAATAAATGAGAATGATTATTTACAAAGACCGCTCTAAATAATTGGGATAAGGCTTTGATGATTAGGCTTCCTCTTCCCATTTTGTATAATTGTTTTATTATGATTCAATATATACACTTATTTCCCCTTAATTTCCCTTGTTTCAGGTCTTAAATGAGGACTTGAGGCTTGTTTTGGGGCAGCAGGAGCGAATGATAAATGGAGCAAATATCTGGAATTTACCTGTAACTTATGACAAGCTTGGTGTAAGGTATAGATTTTGGAGAGATGCAGTTGAGAGAGGAGTCAAGAAATTGCCATTCAGTAAACAAGAAATATGAGAATGATACACCAAGTACTGGTCCGCGGACTTCTCCCATTGTCATCATTCTTTTTGAGACATAACTTGCATAGCTATGCATAGAGAGCTCCAGGAGCATTCCATTGGCCAAAAAGAGCAATTGATGATCCAAAGTAATAAGTTTGGAATTTTACTTTTTGTACAAACTGTAAATTAGTCGTAGTATCAAGGCATGAAGTATAAACTCTGCCTAATTGCCTTTTTTGTGTGCAAAGCTAATCTTGATTCTATTAGTTTTTTTTTTCTCTCGTTGTATCTTCATTTTCTTATCAATAAAGAAAATCTTGTTCCAAGTGGTTCAGTTGAGTTCCATTTTTTGCTTCTTTCTAGTAGTGTAGCATTCTCCTTGGAATAGCGTGAAATGGGATGACGCCGGAGCTGAAGGAAGGAAGCCGGAGCTGAAGAAGAAATAACAGTGGGAGTAGTAAAGGCAACTTCAGTTTAATATGTTTTAGAACTAGTTCTTTCATTTGTTTGCTATAGCCGTATATGTGGCTTAATAGAGTATAAATACTCGTGTAACGAATTAATCAAGGAGGTTGGATAGTGAATTTTCATGATTTTCATTTTCGTATTGAATTTGATCTCTGTATCCGGTTTTCAACCGGTGGTGATTTTTGGCGCTCAAACAAGAATTCAAACGAATTCTTTGTTTTACGCTCCATTTGTTTCTCGACTAGTGACGATCATCGTCGCCGGAAGAACGATGACGTTCGTCCCTGTTCTCCGCTCGAGTTGCTCGACGTCGACGGAGTTCTTGATCTCCGTCCTAAAGCTTTCCGTGACCCTGTTCTTCGTGTCCGGAGTCAAGTGGTATCAGAACCGGCAAGATGCCGCCTCGCCAGAATGTTCAGAGACCAGTCCAAGAAGTCTTGATCGAAGATCTGCAACAAGAAATAGCTTAGTTACAACAGCGATTAGCTAGATGTGAACAACGTGAGCCTGTAATAAATGCCTATGAGGATGAAGAGGTTAATCCGTTTCATTAAGAAAGCTCCAGTGAAAATGAAACTGTAAGACGACCGGTGGGTAGATTTAACAAGAAAACTCACCATGATTGTGGGATTAAAATAGAACTCCCTGAATTCGATGGACGAATGGATCCGGACGAATTCATTAACTGGCTTCAAACAGTTGAGAGAGTTCTTGAATTCAAAGAAGTCCCGGCAGACAGAATTGTCAAACTCGTTGCGATCAGACTCAAACGAACTGCATCTTTGTGGTGGGAAAATTTGAAAAGATTAAGAAATCGGGAAGGGAAGAGCAAGATTGTGACGTGGACTAAGACGAAACAGGAATTGCAACGAAAATACATTCCCGACTAGTATAAACAAGATACTTTCTTAAAATTTACCCAGCTTCAACAACATCAGCTGACTGTAGAAGAATACATCTTTGAGTTTGAGCAGTTATCCTTGAAATGTGACCTCGTAGAATCGGAAGAGCATACCATGGCTCGATTCATATCCGGATTACAACCGGCGATTGCCAATGTGGTGCAATTACAACCATACTGGACATTCCAGGATGTCACTGGGTTGGCTTTAAAAGTAGAAAAGCAGCAAGACATAACCCGAAAATTTTACCAGAAGAATGTCAGTCCAGAACCTGCGAGTAACAAGGACGCCAAAGTTTCCAAGAATGTAGCAGGGCCGAGTAGACAATCGGACGAAACGCCCGCATGTATGCCTATTCAATGGACTCAAGGTTCAACTACTGCACTAGCCCGTAAATGTTTTAAATGTCAAGGATTTGGGCATATTGCGTCCAACTGCCCCAACAGACGTGTGGTGACCATGATCGAGGAACCTAAATCTGAAGATGCTACCACCAACTCGGCTACTGAGGTTCCTGCGTCCGAACCTACCTACGTAATGGGGGATGAAGGAAATTTGCTGGTCTTACAGCAATCCCTAAACATTCACGAGGATGATTCATGGCTACGTCATAGTATCTTTCGAACAAGATGCACCGTCAAAGATCGCGTGTGTAACATGATCATAGACAGTGGAAGCTGCGAGAACGTAGTTGCCACTGTCATGGTGGATAAGCTGCAACTAACTACCACTGATCACCCTAAGCCGTATTCATTATCTTGGATACGCAAGAATGCTGAAATACAGGTGGGCAAACAGTGTCTGATTGATTTCTCCATCGGACCATTCAAAGATCGGGTTCAGTGTGATGTCATCCCCATGGACGTCTGTCATTTGCTGCTGGGACGTCCCTGGCAATTTGACAAAGGGACTATACACAATGGAACCACAAATACCTATTCGTTTGTCCATAATTATTAACAAATGGTGTTGTTACCGTCTCCTGTCATAGAGCATGAAGAACGTTCTGCAACCAACATCTTTAGTCATGCCCTGTTACTTCAAGAGTTAAAAGCGGCTCAACATGGTCTACTGGTGATCCTGATGGAAGAGAATTCTCAACAATCAGAGGTTCCAGAAAATCGTCCAGCCCCTGTTACAACAATTTGAAGATGTGTTAGCATCTGAATTACCCACGGGACTCCCGCCTCTCCGTGACATTCAACATTAGATGGAACTTATGCCAGGATCGGTCCTACCCAATAGACCCGCATACAGACTTCGGCCAGATGAACACTCGGAATTACAGCGACAAGTCGAAGAACTCATTAGCAAAGGTTTTGTACGACCCAGCGCTAGTCCATGTGCAGACCCTGCATTGCTCGTCCCTACATTGCTCGTCCCTAAGAAGGATGGGTCCTTCAGAATGTGCATCGACAGCCGCTCAATAAATAAAATCACGATCAAATATCGTTTTCCCATTCTTCGGATCGACGATATCTTTGATCAGCTCCATGGTGCAACTCTGTTCTCCAAGATCGACCTGAGAAGCGGTTATCATAAGATACGGGTGAGACCGGGAGACGAGTGGAAAACAGCCTTTAAAATGCGGGAGGGGCTTTATGAATGGAGCGTGATGCCGTTCGGAGTCTCCAATGCCCCCAGCACTTTCATGAGACTCATGAATCAAAATTTTCAACCTCTAATGAATAAATGTGTAATAATTTACTTTGACGATATCTTGATATACAGTCGTGATATTGAAACTCATTTGATCCATTTGCAGCGTGTTTTTGAGATTCTCAGGGAACAACAGCTATTTGCCCATCCGAAGAAGTGTCAATACTTGACAAACAGCATCACCTTCTTGGGCTTCATCATATCAGCTGCGGGCGTCGAAGCTGATCCCAGTAAGGTTGAGGCCATAATGCAAGGGACGAAACCCAATTCAACTACTGAAATACTCCAGTTCCATGGCCTCGCCTCCTTCTACAGAAGGTTCATAAAGAATTTCAGTTCCATCGCTGCGCCCATCACTGAATTACTCAAAGCTGAACAATTTTATTGGACACCTAAAGCAGATCATGGGTTTGATTAGCTAAAACTTTCCATATCAGCAGCACCTGTTCTGGCTCTACCCAACTTTGAAGAAGTATTTGAGTTAGATTGCAATGCATCTAACTTGGGCATTAGCGTTGTACTAAGTTAGAAGGGTCACCTGATCGCCTTCTTCAATGAGAAACTCAACGACGTGCGGAAAAAATATTCAGTATATGTTAAAGAATTCTATGCAGTGGTGCGACCTTTACACCATTGGGAACATTATTTTCTACCACATGAGTTCATCCTATTCACTGATCATGAAGCATTGAGGTTTTTAAACACACAAAAAGAAATTAAAAGGGAGCCATGCTGCTTGGGTAGAATATATGGGAGCATTTCATTTCGTCCTGAAGCATAAATCGGGTAAGTATAACTAGGTGGCGGATGCACTTAGTCGGAGGATAGCCCTGCTTCAAACATTACAAAGTAAAATAACAGGATTTGAAATGCTGAAGGAATTATATCCCCAGGATCCCGACTTTGGAGATATTTGGGCCAAATGCCAAGAAGGACCTAATCAGTTCTACCATTGTCGACATGATCATATTTTTTATGGTAATCGGCTCTGTATTCCTCAGTGTTCGACGAGGATGACCATCTTACAAGAATGGCATGAGTCTGGTATGGCCGGACATTTCGGCAGAGATAAAACATTGGCTTTAACCAAATAACATTTCTATTGGCCCTCACTTAGTAGAGATGTGGAACGTTTCATTAAACGTTGTCGCATTTGCATTCTAGCCAAAACGCAGGGACAAAAACTCGGTTTATATACGCCTCTACCAGTGCCGGAAAGTCCTTGGACAGACGTAAGTCTAGATTTTGTGCTTGGACTACCGAGAACTCAACGCAGCAAAGATTCAATCATGGTGGTGGACGATCAGGCCAAAATTGATCGTCCTGGACGACTCCCAGAACTATTCTCAGGATGATATTTTCTACAGTGCAGATCGGCCTGGACGATCTCACCATCGTCCCGGCCGATCCTGGGGAAAAATCACTTTTCCCAGCAGCTACAACAAAGGAACGAGGTCTCACAGATGGCTCATTTCGTGGCTTGCAGTAAGACTCTGGACGCTACTCATGTTGCCGACTTATGTTTCAAAGAGATTGTCCGACTGCACGGGATACCGAAATCAATGACTTCTGATCGGGATGTCAAGTTTCTAAGTCATTTTTGGAAGACGCTATGGGCCAAGCTGGGAACGAGACTACAATTCAGCTTAACTGCTCATCCTCAAACTGATGGTCAGACGAAAACAGTCAATCGAAGTCTGGGAAACCTTCTTCGATGCTTTGTGGGAAAGAATATCAAGCAATGGGATCTCATCTTACCGCAGATAGAATTTGCATTCAACAGATCTGTGAACCAGGCCACGGGACACACTTCATTCCAAGTAGCATACGGCGGTAATCCCCTGACTCCGTTGGATTTGATTCCTCAAGAAACTAACAGTAGCTACAGTGCCGACGGAGATAAGCGTAGTCGAGAAATTCAACAACTACATCATCAAGTCCAATAACTCATTCAAAAGCATAATGATAAGTGTATGAAACAAGCAAACAAATCTCGACGAGATGTCCAGTTTAATGAAGGAGATAAAGTGTGGATTTGTCTGCGGAAAGAAAGGTTCCCTCCCGGCGCGTTCGGCAAGCTCAAACCAAAAGCGGATGGACCGTTTCGTGTCGTTCGAAAAATTGGGAACAATGCGTATCAAATTGAGCTGCCAGGTGACTATAATGTTTCAGCCACCTTCAATGTGGCTGATCTTTCTCCCTATTATGAACCTGATGTTTCTCTTACACCGGGAGAATGACACCGGAGCTAAAGGAAGGACGCCGGAGCTGAAGAAGAAATAACAGTGGGAGTAGTAAAGGCAACTTCAGTTTAATATGTTTTAGAACTAGTTCTTTCATTTGTTTGCTATAGCCGTATATGTGGCTTAATAGAGTATAAATACTCGTGTAACGAATTAATCAAGGAGGTTGGATAGTGAATTTTCACAATTTTCATTTCCCTCTGGAATTTGATCTCTGTATCCGGTTTTCAAATGGTGGTGATTTTTGGCGCACAACAAGAATTCAAACGAATTCTCTGTTTTATGCTTCATTTGTTTCTCGACCAGTGACGATCATCGTCGTTGGAAGAACGACGACGGTCGTCCCTGTTCTCCGCTCGAGTTGCTCGACGTTGACGGAGTTCTTGATCTCCGTCCTGAAGCTTTCCGTGACCCTGTTCTTCGTGTCCGGAGTCAAGGGAGGTAAGCAATATTTATGACTTTGACAACAAAACACCTCTTAAAAATAAGGAGAGATTATTACGTGCGGAGTATGGATTCAGCTTACGTTTTGACTCCAATCAAAATAGAGCCCGTCACCTATACACAGGCTGTGTACAATTTTGTATATAGTGTGTGTATAATATATATAATGTTTATTGATGATGTGGCTCTTTTCTATTAGAGGCCGGCATGTAATAATTTCTATTAAATAAGAGAGCAAGTTTTGTAGCTTTCTTATAAGTAGATTGTGAATGCACTCTGTAGCTGATCTAATTCACGACCCAAGAATGCGTCTAAGTGATTCGATTCAAATTTTAATTTGAGCTAAGTTAGCTATGCTTGGCTTAAATCCAATGTCAAATTGAGCCAATATCTGAACAGTTACTTTGATCTAGTTTAATGACTACATTCAAGCAAATTCCGACTCTTTTAAAATGCGAGGAATGTTAAAAAGATTGAAAAATCTTTGTCTGAATGCATGCCAAATAGAATGAATATACCATCTTGCTCTTACCTGAACAATTTCTGAAAATAAAATCCCTTACAACTTCAATCGGCTTTCGTTTCGGCCAATCTTCTCTTTTTCAAGTAATTCCTTAAAAAATTTGATCCTGCATTCGTTTGATTCAATGCAAGTTCGGTTTGATCCAAATTTATGTCATACGTAACATAGATTGTTAATCGGCATATTAATTTCAATCCATTTTAACCTGCATCAATCTTAGAATCAAATTCTCAGGCATTAAGGCATACTAACAAGTTACATTTAACATCTTAAAATGGGCTATTACAAAACTTGAGGAGAAGGTTGATAGCAGATGGATGCAGATCAATCAACATCAAGCCTTTATCCCATTACGTGGGGTCGACTACATAAATTCTTTTTCTCCATTGTGTTATGTTAAGAATCAAATTCTTATTTAAATCTAATAAAAAAAGATCATTTCTAATATTTTATAACCGAGTCTTTATAGGTCTACATCTACCTTTCTTAAAATAGACTAAATTTAATACATCTACTCTCGTAACAGGGTCATTGAAAGGCCATAATTTTACATAACAAAACCATCTAAGACGACTCTCTAATCTTATCTGTCATTGGAGCTACTTCAACCTTTTCATGGATATGCTTATTTTGTATCATATCTCTTAGAGTAAATCCACTCATCCACCTGAGCATCCTCATCTCAACAACACTAAACTTATTATTATACTTCTCTTTTAATGGCCAACATTATGCGCCATAAAATATTAGATGTTTCACCAAAATTTTATAAAATTTTTCCTCAAGTTTGAGTTGCACTTTTCTATCACACAATAAACTTGAAGCATTCGTCTACTTCAACCATCTAACTTGAATATGACCATGTGCTTTAATAATTAAAGCGGGTAATATATATATATATATATATATATATATATATAAAGTTGTTCTATATAAAACAGTTTGACTTAAACAATAAGAAAAAGGAAATTGAGGAGTCTAGCAAAAATAACTATTATCACAACATAGAAGGAAATGACTGAGATCCTTAGAAATCTATATCAATAGTTCATATCCTGGAAGCTGATTCCTCATTCCGGACTATCATTTAGCAGCAAAAGCACAATTTTTTTACTAGCTCACAAACAGGCTGAGATGACTTGTACATTTTCACAAAAGTTGAACTTATATACTTATTCGTCACATCACAAAGCCTCAGTATTTGATTTAATTGCATTTCACACCGGTAATAGATTTCGATCCATCCCTAAAACCCAAAATCCTAATCTGCACCGTTTTTAGAGGGCGAAACCGCAGTAGGGGCAGAAGCGGAATTGGGGGTCAACGGGGCGGGAGCATGAGTGGCAGAGGAGATTACCGGTAAGGGATGGGAATGAGCTCTGGTCGCCACCGAAAATTTCGTTGTCCGAAGTATCTCCGTTGATTGGGAGTGATTGGGGGAAGAGCAAGGAGCAGTTGCGGCAATAGAAGGCTGGTTGTTTGCCCGACCATCGCCAAACGGGGACGAAGAATAGCTTAAGTACCTTCTCGTAATCCACCAGATCGGCTATGCCCCCGCATCGGATGCAACGCCCCGCCGCTTCCTTCAGCACCCGCCCGGCCTGCTGCTCTAGCCCTCCTACGAAGAAAAAGAACATCTTCACTTTCTCTATCCTCCTCTGATCGGTAATACCATCGAGAAAAAAAAAAAAAGAAGGAAGGATTTCTAGAAGATGGAATCGATGCTGAGTTTCAAGGAAAGCTGCTTCACCGCTTTCAACTGAGACGATATCAAAGCCGTCCGTTTCCTTTTTACTACAATACAATTTTAGGTTTTGTTGAAACTCCCCCTTGCACCACCCCCACAAGAAAAAAAAAGTAAAATTTACTTGCATATCATTTTATAACATCCTATTTATATATCTAACATCTAAAATTTTAATATTACATACATACCATCTTATATTATTTTAATATCAAATATATCACTTATATTTCTTTCCTACCACTCATATATTTTATTTCTACCACTCATATTTGATATGAAAATGAATTATGGGTGGTATGTATTTAATATTAAAGTTTTAGGTATTAAATATGTAAATATAATAACATTAGGTGGTATGCATGTAAATCTCCCAAAAAAAATATTATGCCTCGTACTACACTTAAATTAATCCCCCATATACAATAAACTTAACCGATTAAATATTTCTATAATATATTTACTGAGAAGAATATATTATTCATGATTTTATTTTGAATAGAATTATTTTAAATGAGGGAGAATTTTTTCTATTCATGAGCTACTCTTTATATTCATATCGTTTGAATTTTGGCTTCAATTTATCCGAATAAGAATAAATTCGAACATAACTCAAACTAAAACTAAAATACCATATTTTTGGAATTTGCCGTTCTTAATAGAGATGAAATTGTTCATTTGCAAGAATCTCTTCACATATGAATAGTCCCATCGATATCTACCCTAGATACGTCATCATGAAATTGTCTTGATTGGGCACGAATCTCGATGCAAAACCCAACCCGGAAACTTCAAAAATTAAATCCGGAAGCACCCGAACTCCGATTTCAGCGAGCTTACAGTCAAATTGAGCGTCTCGGAAATACGAACCCAACGACACCAAATTCAACCCAATCCGAGCCCAAATGGGTCCAAATCAAGGTCCCGAAGCGCTATTGGAAGGTTCAAACCACAATTTGAGTTACCAAACGGTCTCCGATTTTAACGAGCTTATACTTGAATCGAACGGCTTGACGAGACGAATCCAACGAGCCTAAGATCTCCGGATTCTGACATCACTAAGGCCTTCAAATGGCTGACGAATGGTGTACGATCAAAGGGTTCAATATCGACCGTCCATTCAAACCACTCCCTATTTGCCCATGATCTCACACCTATTTACGAGCCATGCCACTCCAGAAAAATTATAAATAGAGTCCTCATTCTTCACAAAGGGGACTCAAGTGAAGAGAGAGAAGAAGAAGAGAAGGAGGAGAAGGAAGAATCTCCTCCTCGACCACCGACGGAGCTCTTCCTACTGCCTGAAGACGTCGGAACTCTGCCAGATTTTCGGGAAACGCCGGGAATTTGCAGAACTTTGTAACTTTGTGAGAAGTTGATTGTAAATTGATCGTCTTGATTTGTAAGACGTATCAACCTTTGTACTTCAAACAAATACTAGTGGAACTTTGCAACTAGGCGAGGCCCCGTGATTTTTTCCCTCTTTTGGGTTTTCCATGTAAAAACCTTGGTGTTCACTTCTCTTTTCTGCTTGTGTGCTGAATACTCGTACAACGCTAGGACGCAAATTTATAAACTCTACCGCCGCGTATATTCTAGCACGCAACAGTTTGGCGCCGTCTGTGGGAAACACTATCCCACAACTTCAAGTATTGTTACAATGGTCAACAGGCGTAGCAGTCGCATCATTGGAGCTTTCCGCTCCAACTCCCACCAATCCAGAAATCTGTCTGCAAATCAAAGACGCCCGATGTCTGCCTTTTTTCATCCTGAGGGGCAGAATGCTGCCAGAGAAGGGACCTCAGGACCTTCTTTAGAAGAAAGAATCCATAAGATGGAAGAATCTTAAAATGAGATCCTTCAACTCCTGCGAGATGATCGACAGCCGATATTGGAGGAGGTCCTTCTCCCTCGGGATCCACCAAAGGTTGAAGATGTTCAATTCGAGCATCTTCAAGAAGAGATTCATCTTCCTCCACCTAGAAGACATCCTCAATCACGACAGGATGATGAACTTGCCGATACAGCAAGCTCAACACATCCTTCCCCCTCGACTCGGCAGCCTCGCATTCTTTCGGATCTCCTAGAAGGCTCTGCCAAACCACACATTGCGGAACTCCCTCACAATGTCCTGCGTCATGAACTGTGAAGATTGGTACGGGAAGAGTTCCCCCGAGGAAATGTGAGGCATGCTCTCCGACAGAGGAACTTCCAGGAGTCATCACCTCTAACTGAAGCCATTATTCAACACCCCATTCCGGTCGGATTCAAAGTGCCAAACGTCGAGTCCTACGACGGGACGACCGAGCCGTATGAGCATATCGACTACTACAGAACCATCATGCATATTCAACGAGCGTCAGACGCACTCCTTTGCCAGGTTTTTCCTGTCACCCTTAAGGGACAGGCTCAAACGTGGTTCTATTCTCTTCCATCCAGAACGATCCCTTCATTCATCAAATTAGCCAAACTTTCGTTGAACAGTTTGTGGCTAATCGAAGAATTGCTAAGGATTCTTCGCACCTCTCCAGAATCCGCCAAAATGAGTTAGAATCATTGAAGGATTATTTTCAGCGGTTTTCCACCGAGGCTCGACAGATTCCAGGAGTAGACCCTGAATTACTCAGAGGAGTCTTCCTTGGAGGCCTTCGTCCTGGCCCCTTCTATGCGGCCCTTATGCGAGACACCATCCATTCATACGCTGACTTGATCCATCGCGTAGAGGCGCAAATCTCTGCAGATGAGGCTATAAATGCTCACGTGAAGCAGTTTGAGCAAATCAATGGGAAGCGCAAAGGTGTATCTGGGATGGGCAATTCTTTCTCACAGCAGAAAAAGCAAGGGAAGAATAATCTACCTCATAGGTGTTGCAAATCTATTTTCATGACTTATATTTTGATGATTGACAAATACTATTGATTCTCTTGGACTGCATGTTGCTTCTAACTTTTCAGGAATCGAAGATCGGATGAACAGACGAAGCCAGTTCAAGATTGCGTAGGTCTAGGGTTGAGTCAATCTGTACTTTGTTTTTTCTCTTCTTGAGTCTATTTGTAATTGTCAAAGAGACTGATGCTAAGTAACCCTACACACACATACTTGAGAGACTTAGAATTTCTATTTTTACTCATATCGGCCAGAATGATATTTACATCGTCCTGGACGATCAGACTTAAAACAGAAAATTTAAATAAGGATTCTTAATTAAGGCAGCCGTCATTAACAGATCGGCCTGGATGATACGTGTATCGGCTAGGACGATAAGCTCAAAACAGAAAGAAGTTACCGCCATAGACAATTAAGGTATACTGTATTTTTAAATTATCGGCCAGGACGATCATTGATCGGCCTGGATGATCATTGATCGGCCTGGACGATATTCACAAATTATGCCTTAATTGATCAGGAAATCAAGGGAGTAATTAAGGATGATTGATACGATCATATCATCCTGGAAGATCGCAGGATCGGCCAGGACGATCTATTCAAAAAACTTAGTTACTTCAGGACGATAAATAGAGAGAGAGAGAGAGAGAGAGAGAGGATCTTATGAGGGGATTCACAAGGGTTGCTTCAAGGATCGCTCTACTTCTTCTTCGTCTAGAAGTTCTCATCCGTGGAAGGGTCGGTAGAGGTAAGGAGTTAGCTTTTGGTTGTGGTTCTCTGCCAGCTTCAGGAGGAAGCAAAAGGAGATAGGTTCTCTGCCTTGCCGGGGTGGCAAAAAGGAGGTTCTTGTAAAGGCTTCTCCGCCTAGTTGTGGGGGCTAAAGGAGAGTCACGTTTGTAGTGCAATACTCGGAGGGCGCCTCTGGGGAGTGGACGTAGGTCGAGTTGACCGAACCACTATAAATTTTTGTGTTCTTGTTTTCTTGCTTCCGCACTTTTATTTCCGCATTTATTTTTCACGTGGTGTGATTTTAGTTTATGTGCTTTTGGTCTTTGTAAAAAGAAATTTTTTAAAATACCAATTCACCCCCCTCTTGGTTAGCTTGGTACTAAGTTCATAGGGCTTAACATCCCTAACGAACTTTCAATAGGTCTCCATCACCGCGATGGGAACCTCGACAGGAGGAGTATACACCACTTAACATATCTCGAGCAAATGTGTTGATGGTTGTTCGAAATCAAGATACATTGAAATGGCTGAATCCTTTGAAGTCGAACACAGGAAATGCAGATCAGTACTGTCACTTTCATCGAAGTCGTGGTCACACCACCGAAGCCTGTAAGCAACTCAAGGATGAGATTGAAAGACTTATCTGCTAGGGCTACCTTTGACAATTTATTCGGGATCCACCTACCCGAGAGGAAGCTCGTCCCGCTGGGGGGCAAAATCAACAACAAAGACAACCATTAAATAATATTCAAATGGTTGGAGAGATTAAATGATCACGCATTTAGTGTATTTGTATTAGCAATACTACTTGTCTTATTATCTCTTTTATGTTGAGTAGGGTGTCACTTTGATATCTCCAATGTTTTCTTTTAAGTTAAATGTTGTATTGTGTCCGTACGTAGATCTCGTGTATTGAGTACTTTGTAATTTGTATATCCCTGACTCATACGAGGGAAATATTGTACTGTCTTACATGATGCAGTAATATAATGTTCATATTGTTGTAATATTATTTTCTCTTGTGAAAGATAATTTTTTTTTTCAAACTATTTCTCCATGATTTGAGAAATACACAATCTACATTGTATCTCAATCACCAGATGATCAATCCTAGGGGGATTTGATCTGACCTCATCCACACAGGTTAACGTCATCAAGCAGGGCTCTAACATACAACCTCGGATAGGTCTTACATCCTTGGTGGATTCTCTCGACCTCTTCCACACAGGTTAACGTCGTCGAGTAAAGGCTCCGACATATAACCTCGGATAGGTCTTACATCCTTGGTGGATTCTCTTGACCTCTTCCACACAGGTTAACGTTGTCGAGCAAAGGCTCCGACATATAACCTCGGATAGGTCTTACATCCTTGGTGGATTCTCTCAATCTCTTCCACACAGGTTAACATCGTCGAGCAAAGGCTCCGACATACAACCTCGGATAGGTCTCACATCCTTGGTGGATTCTCTCTAGCCATTTTACAAAGGTCAACATCACCGAACAATATTCTGAGTAAACAATGTTCTCTCTATAAAGACTCCAAGAATGCAAGTGATTGATAAATCTATCACTTATACAAAGAATTCAGTCAGTCTAAAATTTCGGAACAAATATTTTTGGACTTCTACACGTCGTTGGACTTCTGCTCGTTGACAAACTTTCGTCGGTCTTTTACCCGACATCGTACTTCTACCCGACGTCGGACTTCTCCCTATCGTCGAACTTCTGCTCGTCAGCGGACTTCTACCCTACGTCGGACTTCTCCCTGTCGTCGGACTTCTGCTCGTCAGCGGACTCCTACTCGTCATCGGACTTCTGCTCGTCGATGAACTTTCGTCGGTCTTCTACCCGATGTTGAACTTCTACCTGACGTCGGACTTCTACCCGATGTCGGACTTCTCTCTGTCGTCGGACTTCTGCTCGTCAGCGGACTTCTACTCGTCGTCGGACTTCTGCCCGTCGACGAACTTTCGTCGGTCTTCTACCCGACATCGTACTTCTACCCGACGTCGGACTTCTCCCCGACGTCAGACTTCTCCCCGTCGTCAGACTTCTCCCTGTCGTCGGACTTCTCTCTGTCGTCGGACTTCTCCCTGTCGTCGGACTTCTACTCGTCATCAGACTTCTGCTCGTCGATGAACTTTCATCGGTTTTCTATCCGACGTTGTACTTCTACCCGACGTCAGACTTCTCCCTGTCGTCAGACTTCTGCTCGTCAGCAGACTTCTACACAATGTTGGACTTCTATCGTAAATAGCGGAAGCCTCAACCGTCAGAAAGCTGGGGAGAGGAGAAGAAATCTCATAACTCCTGCACAAGAGGAGGGGCACTAATTCGAGCAGGGGAAATTTCCCACTCATAAATAGCGGAAGCCTCAACCGTTAGAAAGCTGAGGGGAGGAGAAGAAATCCCGTAACTCCTGCACGAGAGGAGGGGCGCTAAGTCGAGCAGGGGAAATTTCCCACTCGAAATTAGCGGAAGGCCTCAACCGTCAGAGAGCCAGAGGGAGAAAAAAGAGGAGAGGAGTAGTTTTCCGCTTGCCTTAGGGGGCTATTTATAGGGAAAGAGGGGAAGGAATATTATCCATGATAAGGAATATTCCAAAAAAGATACCAAGAATATTCTCTTTAAAAAAAAGTTGTGGGCCCACATCCAAAAACAAAAAAAAACAAAAAATGGAGCCTTTTTTTCTAACCGGTTGCTAAGTAAATAAGGGACGCGTCTCTCTAGTATGGCAGCACGATTTAAAGAGGGAGGAAGGTTCGGCAATTCCATGTTCATTGTATCATTGCTCGAGTGAAGATAAGCTTTCAAAGTAGGAAGGGAGAGACTGTAATGATTTGAGAGATGAAAATTACATCTCAGGAAACCACTGCGCCTCATTTAGAAATAAAACCAGCTCATAATTATCCGAAATACTAAGCTTTTTTAAAGGCAAGACTTCTCAATGGTTTCATTAGAACCAAAGGATCACTTATGCTAAGATCGCTGAGCATGAATTGAAAATTGTTAGTGGTTTGCATTTCTCCAAGAGAGATCATATTGGGGCATTTTTTAATTATCAAGAAACCAATTTTCGATGTTTCGAAATTAATTTTGATACTTTAAAATTATTTGGATCCTCTACGCCGAAGATCGGATTATTTTAAAGTTTCTACAAAAAATTCCTCAAAGGCTATTGTACATATTTTCGGACTTCTGGAGCTTCGACGTCCGAAAATAGGGGGGCAACTGATACGTCATCATGAAATTATCTTGATTGGGCACGAATCTCGATGCAAAACCCAACCCGGAAACTTCAAAAATTAAATCCGGAAGCACCCGAACTCCGATTTCAGCGAGCTTACAGTCAAATTGAGCGTCTCGGAAATACGAACCCAACGACACCAAATTCAACCCAATCCGAGCCCAAATGGGTCCAAATCAAGGACCCGAAGCGCTATTGGAAGGTTCAAACCACAATTTGAGTTACCAAACGGTCTCCGATTTTAACGAGCTTATACTTGAATCGAACGGCTTGACGAGACGAATCCAACGAGCCTAAGATCGCCGGATTTCGACATCACTAAGGCCTTCAAATGGCTGGCGAACGGTGTACGATCAAAGGGTTCAATATCGGCCGTCCATTCAAACCACTCCCTATTTGCCCATGATCTCACACCTATTTACGAGCCATGCCACTCCAGGAAAACTATAAATAGAGCCCTCATTCTTCACAAAGGGGACTCAAGTGAAGAGAGAGAGGAATAAGAGAAGAAGGAGGAGAAGGAAGAAGCTCCTCCTCGACCACCGCCGGAGCTCTTCCTATCGCCTGAAGATGCCGGAACTCTGCCAGATTTTTGGGAAACATCGGGAATTTGCAGAACTTTGTAACTTTGTGAGAAGTTTATTGTAAATTGATCGTCTTGATTTGTAAGACGGATCAACCTTTGTACTTCAAACAAATACTAGTGAAACTTTGCAACTGGGCGAGGCCCCGTGGTTTTTTTCCCTCTTTCGGGTTTTCCACATAAAAACCTTGGTGTTCACTTCTCTTTTCTTCTTGTGTGCTGAATACTTGTACAACGCTAGGACGCAAATTTACAAACTCTACCGCCGCGTATATTCTAGCACGCAACAACCCTAATGAGCTTCCAACATAAATTCCTATTCTCTTTAACATGCCATTGATCTCGCTAATGCTTACCCCCAAAAACCTCCTGCCATGAAATCCTCTTTACCAACACATGTGGGGGATTCATCGATTTTTGTCTAATTCCTCTTTACCTTCACATACGAATGAGATCATTATTGCTTGGTGCCAAAGAGCTACCATTATGAACATCTCTTCTCATTCACACATCTACGGTCCCATTAATGCTTGCCAGTAGGGAGCTCTTTTATATGAACTCCTCTTCACCTTTACATATTGATGACGTATTGATGCTTGCCAATACTGAGCTCCTATCACAAACTATTTTTCTTTTTGACATGCCATCAATCTCATGGATGCTTGCTCTTGCAACATGCCATCAATCTCATGGATATTTGCTCTAGCAAGCTCCTATGATAAACACTTCTTCTCCTTCACATGCCACGGGCCCCATCGATGCTCTTCCCCAATGAGTCTTTGTCACCAACTACTCTTCTTCTGAACACATTATCAATCCTATCCATGCCTTCCCTTAGGAAGCTTCATCTAAGATAAGAATGACAAACCAAAAGGACAAGAATGGTGATTTGAACCTTTGTTCGAACCATTTTGAATGATTCAAAATAGAACAAGCTTTGATTGATTAACAAGTCAAATGAGCTATTCATGAATGATTGATGGCGACCCATAGCTAAGGTAATTTTGTCTAAAATGAACTTTTTAGTTTTTTCTTCAAATAAAAATATGATGGGGATATTCTACCAATTACATATATTATAATGTGTTAAATTTTTCATTAGAAAATGCTAGTAAGGTTTTTTTATATCCTATTTATTTTACCAAAAAAAAAACATATTTAAAATATATAATAAATTTATTTATTTGTATTTGCATCTTCTTCATGATTGTTGATTATTTTATAAAGTAAATTGTATATTTGTATGTGAGTAGGATGATATCAGTTCATATAATCTAGTAAAAGCATAATATGAACATTAATTTTATCTTAAAAAAATTATGATTCTATTTGATATTATTTTCTTAAGTTGCTCCAGATTGTATTTGTTTTAAACATATAATAATGAAAATTATATTTACCGAGCCAATATGTCAAGTCTAATCATTGAATCAAAAGCATATCTTTATAGTCAAACATGTGGTTTTTGGCCTTCTTTTGTAGAAATGACATTATAGAAGGAGGTAGGGAGAGAGAAAGATTGGGAGAGTTCTTGCACTCAGAGATAAGATGCCAACAAATGAATGAATTGTTGCCTAGACTATGTAACAAGATCTTATTTATATTGTAGTGTATTTTATTTTATTTTGTCCTATAACAAAAATAAAATATCATATCTCTGTGCTCAATAACTTTCATAAAAATTAATAAGATGCCTTAAAAGTCAAATAGGAATAAATATGCAATTTGATCAAAATTTAATAGTTTTAAAATATTAGATAACACATAACATATAGTACATACATACATACGTACATACATACATGCATACATACATACAT